AAGTTGCCGTGTACTTGGATCATTTCATTTTAGTCTTTCCACTGGTTAATGCTGTGTACTTAGGTCATTTCGTTCTAGTCTTTCCACTGATTAATGCCGTGTCTTTGGGTCATTTCATTTTAGTCTTTCCACTGATTAATGCCGTGATTTGGGTCATTTCATTTTAGTCCTCCCACTTATTAATGCTCTTTACGTGCAACATGTGGCTGATTAGTATTACATATTAACAAATATTATTTTGTTAATGTCATATAAATATTATTCAGTTTAATTAATATTTTATTAATTTATTATATTTTTTTAAATAATTAATTATAAATTTTAAAAATATTAATTTATAAATTAATTTTAATTTATTAAATAATAAATATTAATTATTTTATTAATTAATAATTAATAAAATAATTGAATTAAACAAAATTGTATAACCTTAATATTATGAGGCATCACCATAATTGCACTCGTGCAAAATCGACACTTAAGTCATCTAGCGTTGGTCAATAATTAACTAACGTATAATATGGTTATGAGAAAAAGATATTCGTTGAAAAAATTATATTAATGTTTTAAAATAAAGTAAAATTAGAAATTAATTGTTATATATAAAATTTATATAGATAATATTTCTAATTTATATGTTAGACCAAACTAAATAACATTTACATGATGTTAACAAAATAATGTGCAACACTAACTAGACACATGTTGTACGGAATGAGTATTGATATATCCATTCTACACTTATCCTCATTGCACTAACAATCCCTAGTGGGCTGGTAATGTGCATTAAACACCTTAGTTCATGCCAAGATTTGAGTCCCTATTGGGACAAGTATAATATTTGCTCCTTCCCTTTAAAATTTTCCCTTGTTAAAAAAAAATTTTATATGTTAGATTACCAGTGATTGCCTTATTAGCAATGTTTTCAAACTCGATCAAACTTAGTTGGTTCAATTAGACTTGGTTTAAAAACAAACCAAATTATAATAATAACTTATATGTAATCAAATTTAGTCAACTTGGTTGGCCGGCACTGATTCAATTCGTTTTTTTTTTTTTTTTGTTAAAACCGATTTTGGTCACTGAACTATTGTAAGGACCTTTGATTTGGTTTCTAAACTAAAAAAATTCCTGATTTAGTCCATACTGTTTACCATTTTGACCCCAATTTTGTCCTTTCGTTAATATTTTCACATTAATTGACGGAAGAAACATAAAAATTGACAAGTTGGCAAAAGTAAATGATATGGCATTCCAACTCATCCCACCAAAAAAAAAA